TAGATGGTGTTCTCTGGGGATAATAGAGCTAGGATACTGGCTAGCAGAGCTGGATGGTGTTCTGTGTGTGGCTAGTGGGGCTCTGGGGATAATTGAGCTAGGTGGTGTTCTTAATGGCTAGCAGAGCTGGATGGTGTTCTGTGTGGCTAGTGGGGCTAGATAACGTCTCTAGGGATAATTGAGCTAGGTGGTGTTCTTAATGGCTAGCAGAGCTGGATGGTGTTCTGTGTGGCTAGTGGGGCTAGATGGTGTTTTCTGGGGATAATAGAGCTAGGTCGTGTTCTGTGTGGCTAATGGGGCTAGATGGTGTTCCCTGGGGATAATTGAGCTAGGTGGTGTTCTTAATGGCTAGCAGAGCTGGATGGTGTTCTGTGTTCTCTGGGGATAATTGAGCTAGGTGGTGTTCGGTGTGGCTAGCACAACCAGGTAGCGCCACTTGCTAGTCAGTTGAGGATGGTTCAAAAGGCGATGTAACATGCTTATTGCTGTCCAAATACTGCAGAACTGCTTACACAAGCAGATCAATAACTATGGCAAGTACACTAACTAGAATCTATTTTTGATAATTCCTTACCCTATTTCCTGGCTCTGAGACAAGACAAGGTCCAGCCATACTCAACAGACATACAAGGATGTCTGGAAAACAACTCAGCCATATATGTTTGTGTAACTGTAGATTTGTAAGTATAATGAGCTGCATGTAGCCATTACCTAGCCACATACAACCACATCTGTATAACATTTGCCTGGTAAAGATGTCTCCTCAAACAGATACCTGTTTAAGAGCCAAACATTAGAGTGAGTGAGTGAGTTTAGTTTTATGACGCACTCAGCAATATTCCAGCTATATGGCGGCGGTCTGTAAATAATCGAGTCTGGACCAGACAATCCAGTGATCAACATCATGAGCATCAATCTGCGCAATTGGGAACCGATGACATGTGTCAACCAAGCCAGCGAGCCTGACCACCTGATCCCGTTAGTCGCCTCTTACGACAAGCATGGGTTACTGAAGGTTCATTCTAACCCGGACCTTCACGGGTCACCAAACTTTAGATGAAATTCACCTTTTTAATCTCAGGGAGGTCTCTGGAAATAGCTATAAAAATATGAATGTTTCAGTAATATGTCCCATAATAGGTCTTTCCTCAACAATATAACAATATAGTAATAACTATATTTGGCCGTAGTCTGCTTTATGTACTTTTTATGAACATTTAAAGAAAACAATGTTAATAAGACTGATTTGTGTAAACAAACAAATTAATGAATATTCATGAAAGTTGATCTTGTGACAAGGCATAGTAAGAGTGTTTATGGATGTCACCTACTAGTATATGGATTGTCTTGGTCGATGTAATGTAGGTCAGAAGCATGTTGATGTCAACTTGAGCACACACATGTCTGTTGCATTCAGTGACACTTGTGTCAACTTGAGGCTGTATTAGATGTCAGGCCTTCTCTCCTATATATTGATTTCACTTTATTCCTTGGAGCAAACAGTCTTCAAAATAGTGCTTCGTCACTTGGTTAGGGTGGACGTCTAGCGTGTGTAAGGACATTGGATGGTTTTCTCTGAGGTTAGTATTGTTGCATAAGTAAACATGATGTGATTGTGGCAAGGTCCAGCATGGTTTTGTGTTTGCTTGCTGATCCCTGTATAATGCTACATATAACATACTTATACCCTCCGTATTGTTGTAGTGTGTGGACAGGGGGAGAAATCCACCTCATAGACGTGCAGGAGCGTACTCGGCTTCACCAAGAATATACCGTCACCATTTGGAATCATTTCATTTACTGCGACAAATGTATCGTGTCTGGGTTAAAGTTCTGAAGTGTAAACTATAGTCAAAAGAATTATATTTCAGAGAACTATGAATGAAATAGTCTTCCTTTCTTTAGATGCAAGATGCTGAAAATCAATCTTTTGTAACTATGGACTATATTTTATGAGAATTACTGTACATTATGAGGTAGTGAATGTATATTCCGTGTTACTGTATTGTCACGAGTTAGTACTGAACCTGTGAGAGCCTGGGCTTACACCTGGTGTGTGATAGAGACAATACAGGAACCGTGGTGTACAGAGTGACATGTCACTGACCTATATGTGACGACAGGTTAACGAGAGGTGTTGATATCTCACTGACCACTTCACTTCAGCAGGCAGTATACATGGCTACCGGTCAACTTTCTCATGTATCTTTTGGTAGGTACTGCCCTCACTCTGTCTTAAATCATTTTGATACATGCCCCTATATGATATAGATTTATTCCAGGTAAATATCTCAAAAACATCCGACAAGTTATGTGTGTGTGATGAATCAGATTTGTGTCTGTGTTTGCATAGTGCAATTTGATTTGACCAATAACACGTCAGTTGTTGATTTCTTTAGCCATGATATGTACATGCAGTAATGTCTGTATGTACATGCATGAGTACAGTAATGTCTATATGTACATGACACACTCACTGTGACATGGAGCACAGATGCAGGGTGTACATTACACTGGCCTAATGAGAGGGGTGGATCAGCTGAAACGCTTGTGCATATATACACTTGAAAGGCATCATCCTGTAAAGGTATTTTCATACAAATCTTCAGTTAGAATTTTGCAAAATAGTTTGTGTGAAACATTTTACTGATAGTGAAAGTCAAATGAATTGGTCTTCAGTTGTCTGTTACTCGCTCTTTCCTTAAATACAGACAGAGGATAAATATGTAAATTTTGAACTGGAAGGAGTCTATATGAGGTGAGATACATAGGTGGAAATAGTAACGTTATTTGATATAAATATATATTAATATTGTTGTGATGAATCCTGTATAACAATATAAGTATGCTATACTTCCATATACATGTACATGTGTACCTGGTTAGATATAGGTTTTATATGTGTGACTGTAGTATATTAGATATAGGTTTTATATGTGTGACTGTAGTATATCAGTATGGTATACTTCCATATACATGTACATGTGTGTGACTGTAGTATATCAGTATGGTATACTTCCATATACATGTACATGTGTTCCTGGTTAGATATAGGTTTTATATGTGTGACTGTAGTATATCAGTATGCTATACTTCCATATACATGTACATGTGTACCTGGTTAGATATAGGTTTTATATGTGTGACTGTAGTATATAAGTATGGTATTCGTCCCTAAGTGGTCAGTTGATTGGGATTACCAATATACCGGAATTCCTCAGCATGAAATATTGCTGAATAAGTATCACAACCCATTTGGTAAATACCAGTATACTGCTTTTTTTATCTTGTTTTGATCATATTTTGATCTTGTTTGAAAACTTTATAAGTGTGACAACCATTAACAAGTCAAGCTGACATTGGCAACTGCTTTATGTGATCAAAGAGAAATTCTGTTTGCAACCCATTTCCGTAATATAATTTATCATTTGCTGCAGCTGTTGTGTTCAAAGCAACATCCTCCAAAATATCAAGTTCTAAATAAAATGAGGGGGATGTTTTTATATTCAATTTCATTATCAATTTCAGTGAAAAACCCCAATATAATGCAATATATTGTAGTGCATATCACAAAATATGAATCATTATAGCTATAAACTGCAATATGAAATTCATTCCTACACCCATCACTATTTCCTATGTTGTCATCTTAGAGGGTTGAAACTGACAAATATTTGACAGATTAGCCAGCTGTTTAAGTGTCAGGTAAAATGTGTAATACTCTTCAATCAATCTGATCTATAAATGTGAGCAAACTGCTTCCTGGAACTAGATATTGCTGTATCCAAAGCTAAAAATGTCATTGTGTAGATGTTACACACTGTATGAGCAGCCTGTCATCTTTCTGTGAGTAAACACTGTGGCCAGGACAATGCTGTGGAATATACCATCAAGTCGTAGTCTGTCATATAGACCCTGAAGCAAATATATCCAAGAAAGCCCACGCAAGTCTAGAAAATGTGGCAAGTCTAGATTTCCACAGCTTCAGGAAAATGAAGAAAGTCTCAGGGCTCCTTTTTGTTATATTCTATTTTTATCTATGAGCTTTTTTTCTGTAAAGTATGTTCATGTCAGAGATGAGTTGTGAGTCTACCTCAAGGCCCTGAACGAAATCAGGGAGGTGGGATTATGTTTGTGACTTGTTCAGTAGAGGAGAGTTATAAACTAACGCTATGTCTCTGAATATATATAATTTTGATTGTCTCAAATAAACCCATTTAAATTGAAAAGGAGACCAAGGCAGACCAGAAATTGCTTCATTTAGGGCTTTAGCATTGCAGGGAGGGCAAGGCTGTAGGGAAAATAATATGGTTGAGGGACTGTGAGACAGACTAGGAGAGTTGGAGCGCCAGGAGGAAGGAGCTCAGCTGCAGTGCCCAGCCACATAGTCAGCATGACCTCATACTGATGCTAATTGTGCAGACTCTTCCTATTCTTGGAGGGGCAGGCAAAATATATTGGTACATGGAATAAAATTGGCAAACTTTCAAACTGGCATAAAAAATGTGTTTAAATTTCATCTGGTTTCCGTTGAGATTATTTCAAAATTACATCACTCCAGAAACAAATGTTCTTTTCATTGTATTTTTAAAATTGCTAGATTGATATTAGACAAAAAAGCTACACATAGCTGGATATTGAGATTGGATTGAAGTTGTTAACACACTGTTTCTGACTCTGGTAGTGTAGCCACACAATGTCATCTTATGAAAAGGTCACTGTGTGTAACTATGTCCTGTGGTGAAGATGGCCTGTATGTATCTGGGTGTCTGTCTTGGTGGAGCTTGTTGATAGACCACAGCTGAATGCATGGTCATACCAAATGAGGCCAGGCATGAATATTCATTATGTTTTTAATGGGATTTCATAATACAAAACACAATGCAGTTTTTGTCCCAAGACACTGTTAATCTGACGTCTGAACAGCGGGGTGGACATCTCTGATTGCTTTTAAAGGGTTCCTATACGCCATGTTTAATGAAAGTATTTGTTTATTTCAGATACAAAAGGTGACGATATCAGTGCAGAAAGGATGTCTCAGTTTGACTCACTGTTAGATTTCGGGGAGTCTACCCCCTCTGAGACAAATGGAACAACCCAGGGCTCTGGGGCTGCAGATGAGTTCGACCCTTTTGGGCCTAGCCCAACTATTGAAAGCAAGGGAGCAGTGGATGGAAATTTACTGGTTGATTTTACAGCTGATACTGAGGTTAGTAGGCTAATATTTAGTCTCTGCATCCAAATATGTCAATATTCTCTTTTTAACATGATCTTTGGGTCCAGGTATCCTATTGATCCTCAGAAAAAGGAGCATCACACAGTTACTTCCAGAAACATTCACAGTGGTTGGGTGACATGTAATCAACTATGTGTCCCCCTTACAGGTTACAGTTGGTGCTGTAGTTACATGAAGGTTCCATAGTGAGTGAGTGAGTGAGTGAGTATGGTTTACACCACTTTAAGCAATATTCCAGCAATATCACGGCGGGGACATCAGAAATGGGGTTCACATATTGTACCCATGTTGAAAATCGAACCCAGGTCTTTCAGCGTGACAAGCAGACACTTTAACCACTAGGCTACCCCACCGCCCCTTAAGGTGACATCATTACATGGATGGCCGGATGTGATGGTGTGAGTAGGTGCTCATACTTTCAGCCATTGGTCTGCTTGCTCCAGACTCAACTATGTTAGGATATAACTATTGCTATTGTTTAATATAAATAGCCCTTGCTTTGATTTGTTCATTTATCACATTGTTAAGTCATCAGTTGTTCAAACACACAATATACTGTTGCACTCAAAAACTGAGTTTGGTTCGGTTTGGTTGTTGTTTAACGCCCCGCTATTCCGCAGTATTCCAGCTATATGGCGGTACCAACCTCTCTTAAATACATTCTGTCCCAACCAAGTAGACGAGTCTAGTAACAAGCATTTCCTCAAGGGTAATACCAGAGTTTGATGAAATGTCTAGCATGTCAGTTGGCCAGATTTATTTGGTCAGGGTTTGCAAGCCACTAACTGAAATACATGTCCCATTTATTAGTGAGAAATGATGCTGAATTTTAGCATGAATTTGACAAAGTATGCAAATTGTATGGACAGTTTAGGAAAACAATATTACATGCAGTTCTTACTTGTAACTTCATTATTAATAAAAGTAAAATAAGAATCGAACAAAAGATCCAAGATCTTTTTCAATATGTTGAGTTATGGTAAGTACTGAAAGACAAGTCAGTGAATGCTGGCTGCTGTTGTACCTAGTTATATACAAATACACTGCTATATAGAAGAGACAGATGGGAGTGGGATGTTGGTGTACAGAGAGAAGGTGCTTCGTGTGCACATGCTCTGTCAACATGGAGGAGGAGAAGGACCTCTTATCACATTTATTTATATTCGTAATATTTGACAAGTTTCCAAATAATGTCACCTTATTGTTACGCATGTTGACTGGGTAAACAAATATCTGGCCAATATGGGGCTGAGGTATTTTGATTCCACTCCCGACACAGGTTCAGGTTCCCCAACACTGCAGCATTGTGTTGATATGTCTGTTTCATGGGGTATAGCTCATCTCAGTGATGCTGATCCCGTAGTTAACTGACCTACCAGTCTGGCACCAGGAAGGGAGTGTAACAGACTGGTGCCTCCTTACCATAGACAGCAAACCTGTCAACTCTCATGTTTTTGATGTGAGTCTCACATTCTTGTAATGAAAATCATGTTCTCACGGCCAGTTTACTAAATGTCAACTTTTATCATAAAAGTTCTTTCTAAATATCATTATATGATATTTACATCTCAGATAACGACTACTTCTGATTGCTTGGAGCTAAAATTTACGTTATCAAAAATACCCAAAAAACATTTTCGACACAGGGTCTTCTCTCTGTCACTCTCTCTCTTTTGCTCTCTCTCTCTCTTCCCCATCTTTCCATTAAACAAATAAAATAAAATAAATAAAAACAACAGCAAAAACAAACAAGAAACGCAGACGCACACGCACACCCACACCACGCACACACCCCACCACCAGTACTGGGTGCCCTGGACCCGACTGGGACCGGTGACCCCGGACCCCGGCTTTTAATGGTTTCCACATCTTGGACACATTTTGGGTTGACAGTGATAACTGTTAGTAGAATGTAGGACACTGATGAAGTGAATAGAGCATCATATCACAGGTGTTCCTACTAGATGCAGATCGGTATATGTAAGAGAAACATTCAGACCAGTTATACAAGTTAGGGTGATAGTTGATGAATAATGTTTCAAATTCATCACCACAGTTGGACCTCTACAAAAGAGTGCAGCCGTGGACACTGTCAATGCAACTTTCATTGCAATCAGTCACCTATATATATATATATATATATGTTCCCGTCCAAGAATTAAATAGAACCAGGCCTCTCTATAACTGCATCCCCAAAGATTCATTCATTCATGCTCTGGATGATAATATTACAATAGTTTATCATCATTATAAATATAAATCAGCTTCTCAGGATGGCTGACAATTGCATTACTGATTTCATCACAATAGTTCCAGAAACCATACAGTTAAATGATCTTGAACGACTTCTGAATGACTGCGATAAAGGCACTCCTCGAGCAGGGCAAGACAGGGGAATGTATGTCTGTTTCCAGATTATTTATGGAATTCCATTGAGAGTTGTTGCTGTCCACAGCCCTTGAGTTACATGTAACCAGAGGCAGTCAGCTGAGTGTCCTGTGTAACGTAAGTGGTTCACATTTCTAGAGAGTGAGTCACTGGGAGAATATGGTCCGTGTTCCTGGGGTGGGAGCGGAATGAAGGCCCGGGAATTGGAGTGTTTGCATCATACCAGTGTCACACAATTTAAAATATTCAGCTAGTTCTGTTTCACCATGGTGAAGATATTGTGGATCAACATGACAAAATGTCTGTAGGCATACCAAGTTTTTTAAAATATGACTCTCATTGAAATATTTGACACTTGTGAGGTGTAAGATATAATGATGCTATGTTATCAAACTGATGCCAGCATTGATAACAAAATGCTAGCAACATTAAGACTATTAATAATGTTACAGTAAACTACAGCTCTAACGAACTCAAAGGGACCACAAATTCTTCCTTGATATAACCATAGTTCGTCAGAATCATTTGACTAAAATACACTGCAAATGTCCGGGACATAAACACCAATTTGTTATATCCGTCAGTTTGTTACAAGAATGTATGTTCTAAATGTAGTTTCATGTTCCTCTGAGACTGTTCTGAAATGTTTAAATCAAGTTAGCCATGACTCATTGCTGTGCATGTTTCTCAAAACACATCCAATTAAAGAAAAATGTTTTCTGCATGATATCCTGTTTCTACCTTTATAAGGAATTCTTCACCTGTCAGTCCTTTAAGCAGGAGGTACCAAGTGTTTGGTTCTAGACTTTTCAGGGAGATGAGAGGCCACAACAATTTTCCAATCAAGATTGTTGAATAACATGAAAAAAACACTGACTGAATATCAACTGAAAATATCAATAACATTTTCATAAACACAAGCACCTTACAAGACACTGACACTTTCAACAAAGTCCAATATGTATTTTGTGAAGTTCATTAAATGACAACACCTAAGACCGTTATCTCGAAAAAAAATAAGTTCTGCTGCCAAATATTTATATAATTTGAGGAAAATTCAATTATTTTACAGTGTTAATTTAATAATTCATCTGTAAAAAATAATCAGATGACAATACTTGAACAACAGCCTGGCATATTAAAATATCTGAATGACATCACTATCTCCAAGCAGGATGAGCATTCGTGGAATTATTTTCATTATCGTGATGACTCATTATGACATGTGCAGCTCTTCAAGTTACCCATCTACAGTAGGGGCCGATCCTCCCAATGACAGGTCCAGTGAAAGATGGCTGCCGGCAAGGCTATCTTGTTCAAGATGTCTTCTTGTTTATGTGTTGATAATGAATTTCTTGAGAGAGAGGTCTGAAGTGGGTTATCTCCCTTTGTCCATCTTGTTTAAAGTGACTGAATATGCCCTCTTGGAATTTAGGAATACAGGTGACATGCTTGGAAAAGAATGTGCAATATTTGCGTGATTTACTGTTATGACAGAATAATGTTACCGGCATTTATGTAATTAATCAAGATAACCTGCGGCTGAGTGTCCGTGAACAATGCAATCCTTACTGTAACTTACACAGTGTTGAAGGGAAGGGTTGTTGGACATTACTATCAGGCACATGTTTGTTCTAGTAGTAAATTCCAAATATAACAGTTGACATCCCGAGAGTCCCATCATGCTCTTGCCAGGCACCCATAGCCATTACAGTCCTGTCACACATGGGCAGATAACATGTACACTGCTGAGTAGTAGCCAATGGGGGGACTATTTGGGAACCCGTGGGTGGTGGTGGTGGGGGGGGATTTGGAGGTATGCGCCCGGCCTTTAAACTGTTGTGTAGATAATCACAGGTTAAAGTAAACAAGAAACAGTATTCTATATCATTAGCCTAGACAAAATTTTGCTGATTTTATTAAACAAGTGAATCAGACTATTAGAGGTAAACTGATTTGAATTATAAAAGTATTAGATTTGATAGAATTAAAGGGGATGCAACATAAACAAGGTTATTATAAATACTCTCATCAAATAGTAATGTTCTTATATTTAGTATTACACTTTAAGATACATTATTTATCTGTAATTTGTAATTTGTGATGAGGAAAATAACACATGTTTTTGTGTGTAGGTGAGATATGTTTTATTTGAGTAAGTCAGTAAACTTTCTGCCTTGTTTGTGTTGAGTCAGTTTGTCTCGAGAGGCATGTATAAGAGAATTCCACAATCAAATATTGTGTTCTCCAGAGTAGTAAATATGACATGGTTGCATTGCAAGTGGTGATGTAATGGGGTAGAATATAACAATCTGGTTTATTTATACAATGGATTAGAGGCAATTTATACAACGGTTTGTCAATGTTGGACTTGACTTTCAGGAAGCGTCTGTGACAATGCGAGGTTCACTTCAAATATAGCCTGATGGCCAGCTATTGCAAAAACAAGATAGCTATGTACTCTATCAGTGCATGCTTGTTGAACCATGCAAGTGAGACATGTCTACGAGAAAGCTAACTGCATCAAAACGGACAGTAATTGATTAGCTAATAGAGAAGGTATTATTTTGTTTTCAATGTTAATT